CCGGCGCACTCCATGAATACATATCAGTGGCGACAGTCTTTCAGCATATGCCATCTACTCACTAAATATATTGTCAATTGGTAGCGGATATCTGAAGATAGCATCTGTTGGTTCACGCGGGGGGGACCTAGAAGAGAGATCAATGCTATTCCGGTGGTTTCAATTGGGAGTAGTGTGGGTGTAGGGCAATTTCCTATCACTTGATATACCCCAAATTGTAGGCAAGTTATGATAATTATGATACTTGCATGTGGGGAATTATCATTTGATCATCAAGCTATTTTCTCCTCCCAATTAAACATCATTACAAATGCCAAATCCCCAATAACCCTCCCTACAGCTAGACAACCCCGGCACGAGTATAAGACTCTTCGCCACCACATGGTTCTCCAAGCACAGTACTCTTCATCCTTCCAACCCTGCATCACGACCTATTTCCCCCTCGATGATTAGTTTAGGTACAGTTATGCAGGAGAGGATATATGTGTACTGTACTCTTACGTTATTGGGGGTCTAGTAACATTACAGCCAGCCCCCCCCCGAGTCAACGAACGGGCCTGGGGCCCCTCAAATTCCCACTCTACACGAGAATGAGGCAACAAGGAAATACCAGAATGAAGGCCCTGGTAGCGTGTGAATCCGGTTTTTAAGGGAAGTACCCTACGTTCCATGTGTTCTCGGATTTCACACAAAAGATTCAGAGTCTATTTTGATACATATTAGCACTGGACGGATAGCAACAATGATACTTCGAGTGGATGAAAACACCCTTAATAAAGTGCCACCGCGATAGAACCCTACGAACCCTGGATACGGTTGTAGCAGCTACAAGACTCCCCCCCCATACACGTGTACTTGTGGGAATTACTCCTGCGCTCGAAATTAGTCGGGATGAAGTATTTAAGGACCTCTACTATCTTCCTCAGGGATCCGAAAAGACAAGAAACCTGTCTGGTCCTTTCGTACTAATAATAGATTAGAAGAGCTACCCGGTCACATAACGGTTCGGCCGTACCGGGATAATAAATAATTAAATAACTCATTCGCTAAAGAGCCATGGAGTTCGTGATTAATGGAGCATTGCCTGGTCGGGCCAAGCGGTGGTAGACTATGACCCATGTTCACATTCCCTATCTTTCGCTACAAGACTCTGAAAAGAACATGCCTTCCTGGATTATGAGGCTAACTATCGGGCAGGCCACTTCCGAGAATTGTGGGACCGGAATATGGAGTTGTTCGGGTTTAACTGCACCGCTGGTTTTCAGCGGTGGATCTAGCTTAGACTAACTGATTTCTCATACCGCTGAAGGTGTATTGTGGAAATAGTGGTTGGTATTATTCATTTAACTAATACGTTGGCTGGGCCTAGGTAGATGGCAATAGTGGAGCGACTATTGGAGAAATGAGTAGATGTCAACACCTCATCCAAACCATCGACCATAGAAGCTGTTATAATGTTGTCGACATGGCTATGGTATGCTACTTTGGGTGCAAAACCCACTGCGATAGGCGATTTTTGTTTGTCATAACGGCTTCGTACGATACGATACCATAATGACATAGGGAAAAGAAAGGAGGAAGAAATTAAAAGGACATCCAACAAAAAATGAAAAATGTTGATGCGCCAGAAGGGAATCGAACCCCTGCCGATTGCTTGGAAGGCAATAATCCTACCACTGGACCACTGGCGCTGGATAAAATTTATTGGAATCTAATTTCTAGAAATTCATTAACGTACCCCACGGTGAGCCGAAACACATGGTGACAGCAAACAAGTAGTTGCCGATCAACTAGTTAAGAGCCAAAAACCTGTTTTCTGAATAAGTTACCACAACAGAGTAGTGCCATACCCGAGGGAGTTGGCATCATGTAGACGTTTGTGTAAATTAAAGCTTTAGACGGAAGGAATCAATCGCTTCTATAAATATCTTTGTCAAAATGTTTTCAACCAACCATCTTTCCACAGAATAGCATATTGAACTCACCCTTAGCACCCTGAATCAAGCTCACGAGCATGGTAGTCATGTCCCCACCTACCAAGAGCTTGTACTCAATTATGAAGTCCCAAGAACTACACTTTGGCATCGTGACCATGGCTGAGTTCCTACTAATAAGTACAATGAGCGAAAGCAATATTTAAATGGGGGAGAGGAGAAGGTACTAGTTAATTGATATATGACTTCAATACTTGAATGTGTTTAATGTTATCTAAGGAACAAATTTGGAATCAAGTACTTGGAGATGCAGGACTATTGTTTTTCTCCTCGTATCGTACTTCTCAAAAAGATGGCTATTGTAACGATCCCTTTCTTAGATAGTTAGTTCTTCGCGACGGGGAACGATACTTCTCTTTCTGTCTTCTTCTTTCTTCGTTCTTACGATAGCTCTAGGCCTATGCCTACGTTACCGATAGTACAAGACCTTTGTCTTCTATCGGGAACACCTATCGTAAGCTTTCTCTAACTTGTCTTTTCGAAGGACTTCTTCGGCATAACAATAATGTTGCAATAAAGATAAAGATCGTAAAGGTGTTTATATTTGTTAAAGTAATAAATAGGAAAAGTACTTAGAACAAAGCGTGAAGAACCTAACTTCCTCGGCCGTATCGGCCTCCTTATATAGTGTTCTTCCTGCCTTTAGTCATGTGACCTAAAGTGGTCACATGTGCGAAACCAAATCATAACAAACTAGTCATATGACCAAAGTGATCGCATGCTCAAAACCCATGACCTCATAGCGAGGTCATGTACAAAACTCATAAACCAATCATAATGTAATAAACAAGTCATATGACTCGACTGAGTCATATGCACGAAACCCATGACCTCATAATGAGGTCATGTGCGAAACATAAATCATATGCGCAAGGCTTACCTGCAAGGCACACTCGCAAGGCATACTTGTCAGGCACATGTCCCATGACTCATACTTGAGCCATGTGCGAAAGCATCACAAATCCCACACATAACAAATCATATAACCCGAATAGGTCATATGCGTGAAACAATAACATACCTGTGACTCATAACCATGTGTCACGTGAAAACCTTTTTCATGCTAAGCCATGTTCGTGACAGCTATGTACTTATATAGTAAAAGAAATCCTGAAAATGCTAGACTTGTCGGATACAACTGGCATCTTTCATTCTTAGCCTGTCACCTAGAGTTAGGCATTAGGTATAGTCGGCAGATTGAGCTCGTTAGAGTTAAAGCACAGCAGGACTATTTTGTATTTGTAAACTTCTTTGAACAAGTATATACTATATCTATTTACTAAATTTATATACATAATAGCTAATTTAATAAGTTGGAAGCTGCTATCCTCAAGTATGATATCATTCTGGAAAATCTTTACAATTTAGATAAAATTGGCTACCTGATGGGATTTACCCAATCGTGCTGAGTAATCTATGGTAAGGATTTACAACAGTGAAGTGGAGCACTCTGTGCTTGTGATGGGAGAAGAGAAATAGTTACCATGATAGAAACTATTTGTACAGATGGATCTTAATTGTTACCTATGATAATTTTCAAGGAGGATGGTGTTCAAGAGAGCTAGGTGGAAAACTCACATCTTTGTATGCTAGATGAGGTCTTGGTAGGATATTCTGAGAATAGATAAACTAATGCAAAAAAGAGTCTATGATATCTTGAGCACTTCTTTAGACCAAATAGTTCATCAGTAGCTAAAGCTGCTAGCAGAACCAGCTTTTGAATGCTTTTATTTGATGGCCATTACTCTCATGTTACTTGGGAGTTCCTTCTCTATTACTTACAGTATTACATTATTTCTTTTTACCTACCAGCTCATACTACACACAAATTACAGCTACTTAATGTTGCTGTATTTAGTCTACTAAAGTAAAAGTGGACAGAGGCAGTATGGGAAAGGTTTCAATAGGAAAACTATATAGTAAAGAAGGAGAACTTTTGGGATGTCTTACAGCAAGTACGAATAGATGGTCTAACTGAGAAAAATATCCTAAGTGGATTTGAAGCAACTGGCATTTATCCCTTAAATGCACTAAAACTTTTACAAACTCTCTCCGGCTATGATTCCTATCAGTTAAATTCAGAAAACCCTACTACTTCCTTACCTCCGTTTGAACCTCGAATACCTAAAACTGAGTCAGAGATTACTCAACTGGAAAGCTTTACTCAAAGTAAAATTTTCTGAAACACATCACGCTCTCGTGATACCCATGCTGCTATCTGCTCCCTTGCCCAATTGGCCTCATTTTACTGTTCTATTTTAAATCTATGAGATGAAACCGAATGGAAAAAGCAACAATACATCATAGAGGAAGGTCTTAATTCTAGTAGGAAGAGCAGGAAAAGAATTAAGGTAGATAACTCTGCTATTTCTGTTGGTAGTGTGGAGAAGGTAATTTATGCTAATTACAATGGAAAAGAAAAGTGTGCAAAAATTAGTTTAGGTTATTATACACACTTATATACTAGTACATCTACTAAGCTTACAGAAATAGCTAGTAAACTGAAGCAGCAGCAGGAAAGGGAAAAAAATGGACATGAGAGTAAGAGGTACAAACCTGTGATTCAATTGGGAATTGAAGAAAAAGAATTGGAGGGAAAGCTTGAAAAATACAAACGGTTAATGAAAGAGAAGGAACTGGAGTACCAGAAGTTGGGAACGGAAAAGAAAAATGCTCTGGATAGGGTGGAGAATTTGGATTTTGAAGATGGTGAAGATGAGGAGGAAAGGCTGGAGGAGGAACCCCTTGGTGTTGAGGTTGAAGAGGATGAGAATACCTGTTAATAATTGATGTTGAGCAATACTCGATCGAGTTGTTTCGTGTCACCGTGTGTTTCGGCTCACCGTGGGGTACGTTATTCCAAATCCCACAGGAAGTGAGCAACCCCACAACCGCCAAGCCGCCTAACCCAGCTCAACCACAATCCTCTCCTTCCTCTTCCTCCCCCCCTCTTACAAGCTCACGAACGAACAGACACACAAGGGTTAAAATTCCAAAAATCCAAAAATGTCAGACCCGCAGGAAACTTCCGACCCTTCCACCTTCCTCAGCGAGATAATCGGCGCCCCAATAACCGTCAAGCTGAACTCTGGCGTTGAATATAAAGGTATGCTGATCCTTGATGGGACATCCGGCTACCTGGGATATCTTGTGAAGCTAACGTTGCTCGTTGCCGGCGGCTTGCTTTCTTGCTAGGTGAACTGTCGTCGGTGGATGGGTACATGAACATTGCGCTGGAGAAGACGGTGGAGTACGTTGGCGGCCAGGTGAGGAATAGGTATGGGGATGTGTTTATTCGGGGGAATAACGGTGAGTTTGGCTTCGGATAAGGGGGGGAAGAGGGCTAATGTGGGATGAATAAGTGTTGTACATTTCTCAGGATGTGATGTAATGGGAGGCTGTGAGGGGAATGGGAGTTGGTTAAACTTTTCGGGCTACGATGTATTTGCGATACCAAGATGGCCTTGCTACTGCTACGTTCCAATTCTCTAAACAAACACCCCGGTAAATACGTTTCCCCGTTTCCCGTATCATGAGGGGAAAACAAGAAGAGGAAAAAAATGCGAAGCCGTATACCCTAGAAAAAGAATAATACTTGAAAGGAGAAGAAGAGAAAATGCCTACACACTTTGCCAGTTCCTTGCCCCGAGGCCCCATCCAGGGAAACGGAAATAACTAAATGGGGCGGAGGCCATTGCACCGGGATAAAAACTAACTATAGAAAAGGCACACTACACGCTTTAGAGAAGAAGAAAAGAGTCAAATGATGCATGCAGATCACTTCTTCTTCCCGAACCTCAGAATACCCATGAGTTTATTCTCCTTTGAAGCACGGTCACCTCCGCTCTTTCCTTTCCCCTTGCTCAAACCTCCTCCGGGGTTGTCATCTGACTCGCCTTCTGGTCCTTCAGGTTCTTCGGGTGTCGGGAGAGCTTTTGAGTTTTCGATAAACTCGTCTTTGAGTGCTAGTTCTTTCTTGGCTTTCGCTGAGACGTCGGGGCCCCAGACTAGATGCACGGTAGCACCAGTTCGCAATTTGAGGTCAGTGGTAAGTCGTTTTGGTGCTTGAGGGAGGGTTTCTCTGGGAGGGATCCCTGGAATGAATGTTAGGAATTGATCAGGTAGGGGTGTCACCGTAGTAGCTTACTTAGAAGGAAAGGTTCGTTGGGATGGCGGAGGGTGCCTCTGACTGTATCGTAGAGATCCTGGGCTATAGGTTGAAAAGTTAATTAGTCTACCGGATGATGAACATTAAATAATTGGGGTTTACACATACAAGTATGAGTCTTGTCAAAGTTCTGTTCAGAGGTATATCCATCCGGGAAACGGACTTTGATCACAACCTGTAGATAGCACCTATGAGCGACTGGATCCAACCTCTCACCCAAGCATTGCACATACCCTCTCGACTTTCTCCGCCTCCGCAAGCGCGGCGGCTTTCCTCTCTTCAATCTCTCTATCAGAAGGCAAGCGTTTCCCAATAGTCTCCTTCTTGATGTTCGCCTGGATAAGTTTGGCTTCAGTGATTCCAACCTCGTATGCTTTGTCCGGAACATCGACTGCAGGGGCATTAGCACCATATCCTTCAACTACCGGACTTGACTCCAATAATCCTTACTCTGAGTCGCTGCAAGTGTATTAGACTGCGAAGGCCTAAAAACCGAGACCACCGGCTTATCAGAATTCGGAGGCTCAGGAAGACCACCCTCAGTCTCAAGCGCATCGGCCGATCCCTCCATGGGCTTATCAACCTCCATAGCGTTGCTTCCACCTGTGTCCCCCTGCTTATCCGGATCCTCCGGAGCATCGAACATGATAAAACCCGCTTCCGCCTTCCTCTTCTCCCCTTCCGCATCCTTCGAAGACTCCCCACCCTGCACCTCCGCCTCAGTAGCCTTCTCCCTTGGAGCGGAAAACCCAGCAATCTCATCCAAAGCAGCCTCAAAAGGAATATCCGTCTCTCTATACCTAAGTGTAACCAACTGCCTCCCACTCCTAATACCGAAATCACTCAAGGTCTGCTGCAGTTCACGAAATCCAGAAACCTCCCTGTTCATGACTCGCGCCACGGGCATGACATAGTGTAGACGCCCACTCCCGGAAGTCCCGGAAGGGGCCGCACGCTCGGTGATGTTGATGGCGGGGTCGTTGTTTGTGCGCGGGCCTTTAGCCTCCAGCTTCCGCATGATCTCCCATATTGTGCTCGAGGCGGTGAACATGTCTGTGAATTCCTGGATCGGCCTACCGTCGGCCTCCTGTGCTCTGAGGACTATCGTTATCGGGGCGTCGCGGTTCTTGGCTAAGACTAGGTCTAGTTTTGCTCCGGGACTAAGGTTTGTCAAGCGAATTTGGAGCGAGAGGTCTAGAGCTGCGTTCCCTTTTCTATAGTGGTTGGAATAGCGTTAGTCTATTGAATCGTCCCCCATACCCTATACATATATACATATATATGTATATATATATAGATGGGTGGGTGGGTGGATCTGTGAGTGTGTGCGAGTAATAGGGCCGTACTTGAGAGCGAAGTTCTGGGGATCAACTCCAAACTTTATGCAAGCCTCTGTGTGTATTTCACTCAGAGACCTGGTTGGGGGAGCTTTGATGCTTGCTCTTCTCCCGCCGTAGATAACGACTACGGTCGCCAAAGACATTCTCGGTGCTGGTTATGAGGTATGATATCTCCGGTGGTGGCTTGTGTGTGACTGTGGTCGTGGAAAAAGGGATACGGTCAAGGAGGGAGGGGGGGTGCTCTGATATCAGCGGTCGTACCAAGAAATATTGTCCCGGTAACACTAGGTTATGGTTATGCCCGGAGACCTAGTTGTGGCGAGACGGTTTCTGAGGCTACAGGTAATAGGTTATGATTGGCTGGGTGAGGTTTATAAGCCATATCTTGGCGTGTACAGGGGTTTAAGAGGAAGCTAGAAGCCTCTCGAAGATGAGCTGTTGGAATTGGCGGTATCACAATAATATTACGATACTACTACGGCTATCTGCTGTGGCTTTAGCCCTAGCTCGCAGTTTTGACGGAAGAAATAGAAATTGATGTTTTGAGTTCTATAGCACTTCTAGCAGTGATACCTGTACTGCACCGACCGCACTCCGGCCCGGTGGTCCCGGGACAATAAAACCTATTGAAGGTACAGTACAATATTCCCATCCACTCTCAGTTGCGGTATATCCCCCCCACCTGTAGCTCTATGCTAATAGGGGCCAAGATAAACAGCCCCCTTCGAGCTCTCGAGCCAATGAGCTGTTGTAAAAGTGCCAACCCATTTTTATGCCACTAGAAATATTTTAACCACAAAAGCATGTTCCGCAGACCCACAAGTTTTCCAGGTCAAAGCGTACTACACTGTACCAGTCCTGCTTTCATTCTGCCAATAAAGCCACATCATAGGCATGAACTTCAGTGAAGATAAAGATGCTCCTGCGAACCTAAGCCCTGTGGAAGCCCGCACCTGGCCAGGGTATGCCCAATTGGTCTCACAATGCCCGTGCTGGTCTCTCCATCTCTAAGTCCAGTGTTGAAGAACCAAAAGCTACTATTAGGGATTATTCTTATAGTTCCGGAGGACGAATATATATTCCAACCTGCCTTGTGAACGTTGGCATGGTAGAGGCACTCGAGCATATTTCGGGATATCACAAAGGAGGAAACTCAACCATTTCCCACCAATTCTTGGCCGCCACAGACCACCCACAGCTGCCACTCCAATTTAGTTACCGACATTACACCATATACACCACACGGCACCCAACTTCCACTTTACGATTCCATACAAAAATTATATAGACGGGTAAGGGTATTTATTTGTAGCTATCCACAGCTCTAGGAATTGGGGAGACGACGTGGTGATTTATGAGTATAAATACAGATACCCAATCCCATCATAGATCTCGCAGAAGTCCTCTCCATCCTTTTATTTATATTAGTCTTGTCTTCCTACTCGTCCGCGAAAGTACATTGTTAGCTGCGCCATCACCGAAAACGATCAAGATAAAAGCGAATGAGTGAGGGGGGAGTATACCCTTGAGGAGCCTCTTGACGACCTTATCTTTGGTTACGAGGTAAACGTGTGCGCCCCAACCTATGCCTCCAATCAGCAACTACGCAAAACCATCTTCAGGACGTGCAAGCCCACCTGACAACGCATCACGATCGACAGAGTTAAGGAGTGCCTGAGAGATGGTTTCGAATAAGTCTTCCGGTTCCTATAAAACACCAGCATATCAGCAAATATCTCTCATGCTCCATCCATCCTTCATGATCAAGCATATCATACCAAATCAGGCTCCCACAATCCCTCACAAGTACCAAAGAGCTGGTCAGATGCCGTTCCCGACACAATAAAGTCTTCAGCAAAGTTGATACACCCAATCGAGTCAAACCCGCAGATAAATGGCTTGCCGCTATGTTGGTTAATTCCGGCGATTACAGGCGAAACAAAGTATGGTCCGAATCGCTTTTCGTATAGAGACGATGAGACTAGATTCGCCATAGTCTGGGGCTCGATATCACGTTCCTCTCGTAGGCGGTACATGTTCACCTTATAGCGGAAGAGCTCGGAGCTGTATGTCTCATCCATTCATCAGCAAAACCTTTCCGGGGGTGGAGCGGATGGGGGGTCGGTATCCGGGAGACGAAACAGAAGGGCAGTGAGAGGGGGACAAACACAGATGTAACGTCCGTCGCCAAACCCGTCAGACCTAGATAGACATCGCCGTAGTTGAAGATCTTGGGGAAATCATTGGATACGGTAAGGGCCTGCATTCCTAATCTCAGATCACAGGCAATAGCGACACAATCCTTTCCAACCCTGACTCCATCAACCTTCATCAGTAACTAAGCTTCGCAAAGTGGGAAACGAAGGACTCCGCACATCGCTACGACTGCGCCGCCATTTATACTGAACGGGTTGCTCTATCAGCATGGTTAGTATACGAAAAAACTCTAGTTGGGTGGGGGAGGTGCTTCATTGCGAGGACATAGGAGGGATGTAGATACCATTATGAGTGGTTGTAAAAGAATAAATTCCTAAAAAAAAGTCTCAAGGGGATGGATGGATAGATGATGGAAGCTGCGGGGGTCTGATGGATAGCTATGTATGGTAGTGGGGAAAGAACTAAATTACGCGTATCTTCACAAGGTGTCGGTGGCTGTTCCTTGGTGCTGCGCCAAGACCTAATTCCTCAACTCCACAATGACTAACGCCTCTAGAATTGAACTACCGGTACTTTACCCACCTGCAGTTTCAGAGGAAAACTATCACGTATCGTAGAAATACCACATTGTTTCGATATTTCACTCTCAAAGAATTAGTAACATTTTTTTCTGGAATATTCTTAGTTGTTCCAGGAATGTCTTCCACCCATGAAAGCCAGGGCGGTAATGTAATATTAGTTCACATATTCTCACTCGCCAAGGAAATTGGGAAAAGACGACTCCTAAGGTTATCACTCCCGCGCCCAACCTTCCCACAGTGTCAGAGAGCGTGGAGGGGAGCCATATAACTCTATGGTTACTTAGATTATTTCTTTCAACCGGCAGAGGGCAGTGAACAAGACTGTTTTGGAACGAGAACCACAATGGGTTCGGTATTTATACAAAAGCCATTCATGCTTCCATCCCACTGCTTCTGATACCATCTCTCTACATATTTATTGTATTGGCATAATTTTTTTATTGAATTCTTATAGTCACCGAATGTTCCAACACTGGCTAGACACCAAACTCCAGCGCTACCTTGCAGAGAACGCGATTGTTTCCTTCCAAAAACTACCCTGTGCAAGCCTAAAGCCTGCTTAATAACACAAATAACACACCAATCCCACGATATTGTAGATAGGTGAACAAGTAGGTGCATAAAAAAACTCCATATATGGGTATCTAATCGTGCCCACGTAATCCATGAAGGCATCCTAACACCGGAGATGTATAAACAAAGATAACCAGTAACATTAACTGAACAGAGGGAATCAATTAGTAAAAAAAAAAAACCACTCGGACTCCCCAATGCATGGTAGAAATGTTTTGCTCGCGCCATTTGCGCCGTGAATGAAAACTTGTAAACTGATAGGTAATTATGATATACTTTATGAAAGATATGAAAAAGGTCCAGAAAGAACCAAAAGCAAGCATTGGAATGGAAGAAAAACAAGAACCTGAGTACGGTATACTGCATTTCAGTTGATGTAGACATCGACCGTAAACATATCCTCGAGCTCAGTGTCACAAATCTCTCCATCCGGGTCTAGGTGATCACCGTCAAAATCAAGGGTTATCGTCTTAGAAGGATCGATGGCTCTGGCAGCCCTGAAAGAGTCGATGAGCTCTGATATTTTGGTGCTCTAATAGATATGTGTATAAGCTTTCGGTGTCGCTGGTATTGTGAGAGAGGTAATCACTACTTACCGGTCTAACTTTGGTGGGGAAATTGGCATATCCTTTGCTCTTAAGGACTATTCCGATAGACTCCTCTACTTTCTCCTCTGGCTCTTCCTCAAGACCATCGTATTGCGCCTCACGGCTTCTCTCCCTCTCGGCAAAAATCTCCGCTGTCATTGCTTCAAAATGGAGATGCTTATCCTTCACCCCGTCAGTATTTTCCTCAAAGTTCCCCTCTTCATCAGGGCTGATGCCCATGCCGGTGCAGGTATTGACATCGAATATCTTGTTACCCTTCCAGGTAAGAAAAACATCGCTGGTCGTGTCCTCATTGAAACCTTGACGTTGACACCAGGCCAATCTAACTTCCTTTAAAGTTTGTCCAACTCGGCGTCTACATATCAACGGCTTTGTTTTCGGAATGTCAGAGGTAACAAGTATGGAGACACATGGTCCAAGGAAAGCACTCTGTGATTCAACGGACGGGGATTGGGTCGCGCGCATGCGTGCAGCTCTCTCCCTTGCCTTCTTCTCTATCGCTGCCAAGGCAGGATTCTGCTCCTGGGGTTCATCGTCATCATAGTTGTCAATTGTTGTGACCGGTGCACTGCTGGTAACTATAAGATCCGGTTCGCTATCCGAAAGCGAGATCACTGGCGACTGAAAATTGGGTTTGGGAATAGGACGAGGCAAGGCGGGTTCATAATAGAGGCACGGAGGTGGTGTAAGTTCAATCCCGCGGTCCCTCTTCTTCTGCACAGATGGCGAAGCCTCGTTGTCGGAATCATCGAGAATTATTTTTGCATTTTTATAGCTGGAACACTAGACATTAGCAAATTACAGAAGTACGTCGAGAGTGCGCATATCTGATTACCGGCTATGTAGGGATACACTCTGATTATTTGTAGATCTTCCCAACTTAATTTCATCATCTTCCGAAAGCTCCTCACTGCTTCTCCTCTTCTTACCCTTGGGAGAACCTTTGTTGATGGTCAAAGGTGGGGAGTAGAATTTCTCAGCCTTCTCTTTTCCTCTCCTAGCTAGATCTCGTTGACGTATTTCCGCCGCGCTGACGAATGTATCTTTGGAGCGACTAAAAAAGCTGATATCATCTGTGGGTCCAGCTGATTTGACTACCCCATTTTCTGTCTTTTTGTCAAAAGTCCGCTTCTTAAACATCATCTTAGGTTTCGGTTTCTTTTCTTCAGGCGAAGAGGATTCCATGACAGCCGTTTCGCCGAGTGGGCCGATGTTGGTAGCGGTGTTGAGTACAAAGAAAAGAAAGTACTGTACGCTTGAAGATAATCGCCGCGCGGGAGTTAAACTTTAAGTGTGGGATGACGGTCGAGGGGAAGATGCTAGGATCGGAAGGCTTCAGGGTGAGATCCAAAGAGCCGCACAAGGGAAGGGGGGTGCGAAGTTCCACTGCATCATATCACACTACTGAATTCCAGTTGGAATATACCGCTTCATGGCTTGGCACGTGACTAGTGGGCTTCTGAGCGAGCTGGGTAACAATGCAGTTCTGAGGGATAACTAAGGAACTTCTCAGCAAGCCATAATTGGACGAGTTAAATGAAGCCCCCTAGTGAGCTAAAGTATGATACCGTGAAATCTCGTATAGTTGGCTATCTCCGGAGCAAGGGTTAATCTCTGGTCCACTCACAATAGATTCAGTTCGACAAGTTACCAGAATTGCGAATACCAGTTACTAAGATCCAACAGATTCAGCATGCTCATCCTTTACCATGTGAGGAAACACTAATCCTTCACAAGAGTCATTTTCTTTGAATACGAGTATTTACTCCTTCTCCGAAGATAGCCAACTTCAATTATATAAGATTTTACAGTATTGAATTCACATTTCAAACTAAGGCCATAGAAACTGCCAGTAGGCCAAGAAATCAGAGGTAAGTAAGAATATATTAGTTAATTAGGTCTTACATAATTATAGTTAATAATATATCTTAGGTGGTATAATACTAAAATCTCTAATACAAATAAATACATAATAAGAGCTAATAATAACTTGATTAGACTTTATCTAACAACTTTGGTTTTATAATTATAATACTTTCTGTAATTTTTCAGAATATCATACTATGTATATAATAATATTATATATTTTTATTACCTGTATTATTATTTTTTTATTATATTAAATTTTATTATCAAGTCTCAATTCTATACTTATAAATTAAAATAATTCTGAGATAAAGCTAGCTAGCCTTCAAGTTCTGAGCCTCCAAGTACAATAAAATACTAATAATACAGAAATTTATTCTAAATAAATAATATACTAGTAAAGATAGTACCAGAAGTTAGTAAAAGTTATGAATACTGTAAAAACTCGAATAAGTGGACTATGTACTATGGAGTCGAATTAAGGTAAATCATACTAAGACAAATCATCAGGTAAGGTGCAATATCAGTCTCAGTCTTTCTTGGCAGTTACTTAAAATATATTTCTGCTTCATCTTCATGGTTATCAAGTTCTATAAAATTATTCTCATTATCTATAATACATTTCCCCTCCTCATTCCTCAATCCTTCAGTAAGAAATGCAGTGTAAATGTAACGATCCCTTTTTTAGATAGTTAGTTCTTGGCGACGGGGAACGATACTTATCTTTTCTGTCTTCTTCTTTCTTTGTCTTATGATAGCTCTAGGCCTCTGCCTACGTTACCGATAGTACAAGACCTTTGTCTTCTATCGGAAACGCCTATTGTAAGCTTTCTCTAACTCGTTTTCGTGACGAGTGCTTCTTGGCGTAATGATAACGTTGCAATAAAGATAAAGATCGTAAAGGTGTTTTATATTCGTTAAAGTAATAAATAGGAAAAGTACTTAGAACAAAGCGTGAAGAACCTATCTTCCTCGGCCTCATTGGCCTCCTTATATAGTATTCTTCCCGCCTGTAGTCATGTGACCTAAAGTGGTCACATGTGCGAAACCAAATCATAACAAACTAGTCATGTAACCAATGTGATCACATGCTCAAAACCCATGACCTTATAGCGAGGTCATGTACAAAACTCATAAACTAATCATAACACAATAAACAAGTCATATGACTCGACTGAGTCATATGCACGAAACCCATGACCTCATAATGAGGTCATGTGCAAAACATAAATCATATGCGCAAGGCTTACCCACAAGGCATACTCGCAAGGCATACTTGTCAGGCGCATGTCCCATGACTCATACTTGAGCCATGTGCGAAAGCATTACAAATCCCACACATAACAAATCATATAACCCTAATGAGTCATATGTGTGAAACAATAACGTACCTGTAACTCATAACTATGCGTCACGTGAAAACCCTTTTCTCGCTAAGCCACATTCGTGACAGTAAATAACCTTTTCTGGAAATCTCATAATCTGCTGATCCATTTATAGGCAGCACAAGACTAACAATGCAAAATGCCTTCCTTACTATCACCACTTTCTCAACTCCTGATTAACCTCTTCTTCTCTTCCATGATTTCTTCTTTCTCCCTCTCTATTTCATCTAGCCTTGCCTTTAATAAATCCTATCAGTACCTTAGTTCATATACTTTTTTTCTTTTTCTTTTACTTTCAAGTATCCAGGTAAGTTTCCTCTCATATAATTATTTTGTAAAATGTACTAATCTTTAGGATATCTTTGAATGATCTGTTTATTGAAACATCAAAAAGCTGCACAAGGCCAGTACAGCTACCAGGAATAACACCGAGTATTATATCATTCACTTGCATGGTATCAAGAACCTCATCTGTTTTGTGTCTGGAAAACAAATCAAGTGCTAACAGGGTAGATTGATCCTCCAGTACAGGAACCAAATGTTCTTCCAACCATTCAATTATGTTCTGACTCTTTGTGTAGGCTGTAGGATTGAACTTGACTATGATGCAGGAGTAATATTCTTTCATTTCAGTAAGTACTGTTGCTCCTACTCCCTTCTTTTTAAAAAAATTAATAGCTTAACTCTTGGTACATTGTTAGCAAAGATGTTAAGCTGTGTAGTCTCCTGCTACTTGTTCTATTCTGACCACTGACTTGACTGCATCCAGATTGTCTTTTCTCCAGTACTATTATAAGTATGCCCCCAGCAAATTTATATGGAACAAGAGTCTGATCCATATTATAGATATTACTCAGGCGGTACCGGCCAATGATAGCAGGAATATCATCCTGCTCCACCTCACTCTCCAAACAAAGCTGCAAATTTTGTCTGCCGAACTAGATCCAGTTGAATATTGTCTTTTCAAAGTCTACCAATAGTTTACTGGCTGTATTGGTAATTGCACAAAGACTAATATGATGCCATGATAGGAAACCTCAAAACTATCTATTGGAAAATTAAAATTTGGTAAGTTCTTCCTCACTATAATGCTTTTGGACTAATTCCTTCTCTATCTCTACTCATTTCCTTTTTCTTCCCCCATCCAACATACAAGACTGACTACTTTTTCCAGTTAGATAATATTCTGGCTCTATCTCCTTCTTCCATGTCGAAAGATTTATTGCTGGAATTTGAAAGCTGGCTGTAACTTCAGATCATATTAGTTTATAAAAGCAAGACAGGTCACATGGTATGCTACTCATTTTCCAATAGCTTATAATTTACTGTATAGGATCATTGAGGATTGCTGGTAGGCTCCTGTGGCTTTCAAAGGACCTGAGATAAGTATTTTTGCTTTGAACTAGTTTTCTTTTTAACCCCAGCATTGAAGCAATTAGGAGAAAGAGCTGGAAGTTGAGGTCAGACATAGATGCGTCCAGAAAGTTGATTGATAACTACCTAAATGCATTCTGGAATTACCTATTAGCTCTCTTTAGTTCAACTCTGAGTAACTTTTATAAGATCTCACAGAACATCTCTGATGTGAATTGGTTTTAAACTCTTGTGACAACCTTTGGGTATTATATTTTCGTATTTATAAAATATACTGATAATATTGCCTATCTCTCTTGCTAACTACACTGATCGGATGATATTAAAACACTGTCATGTAGGTTGCGTGGTTGACTTTCACCTCATATGAGGTTGAGATTAGCACTTGTCTTAGACTGCTAAATTTTCTTAGATACTAATTTCCAACATTCCCGTGTTCCAAACTCTAAACTTACTATCCAGTACACAGTCTGCTTATTCAAGTTTTTACAGTACTCTAAACTCTTAATAATTCTCAATAATTTAAAGATGATAAATAAGGACTAAAATATGATATCCTAATTGGAAATTTAAGATCTTGCTAATAGCTTGTTAGTTGAAAACCAAGTTAAGAATATATATAACTTGAAATTCTACTCAAATTTCTGAATTCAGATACAGAGACGGCAAATCTAACACAATTCACTTTTGGAAATACCTCCTAGCCTTGTGTGTTTCCTCTTCCTTGTATTGGGTGTCAATCAAGAGTTTTTCCTCTCTCTTTTTTCTAATACACTTTAGCCCATTCACTTCCCTGTCTGACCCGCTTGCGGGCCCAACATGTTATAGAGCAGGTAATAAAAACCCACACCAGAAACACGGCCCTGCTGTCATAGTAGGTGCGGCATTTTGCTTGGTAGCGAATACTAAGAAGCCCTTAGGATACTTGCTGTCCCCACATATTCTACCTGTACCAGTACCATAGTGAAGTTGTTTCCCCGGTCTAGTCTGCATCTGGTCCACCGAGTGAGGCGTGCTCAAGATATCTATTCCGCGACAATCTCATTCGCATCTACTGTAAAAACCGGAGCCTTCTTATCCAAAGCTTTTACCTACCGTTATTCTATACCAACTCAAGTTTTCTGCATATAATATCACTCGAGTAGTTCAAAGACCGTATCATAACATGACACATTGTCAACCTATCGATGATGCAGAAGTTACCAGTATTCCTATTTTCAGGTTACTTGCTGCTAGCGTTTCCGAGAAGCTTCTCGGAGTCATAACAACTATATCGGGGTGCTTCCTATGACGAGCTCAAGGATAATAAATTATTTGAAAGTTAACTGCGATTCCGTCAATTGAAATCTGTCTTCTTGCGTGGTAAATCCTAATACCCCAAAGGGCGATCTTAAAAAATTCACCTTAGATACAGCTGTCAGCTGTGGTGTTGTAACCATCCTGCTCTATTTTTCGTTTGCAGACTTCAGTCCTAAATTCCCGGGTTGTGGCAAAGTGGCGGCAGGTGCCGCACCACCCGAACTCACTCGGTTTTACAGTTCCTGCATCCACTTACCGACAGCGTAATATGTTCTGGAAGAGACTCGGGTGGTGCCCAACCTAAATTAAAATTTACCAACGAGAGTTGAGTTGTCTATTCACTAACAAGTTATGATACTACTTTTTTTTGTCTTACTACACCCAAGCTTCATCATAGGTTTCTCACCTCTGTTACCCACTGCCCTCTGTCAGGTGGACCATAGATAATTTTTGTTTTCTATAAGTGGCGATTCCCGGGGATGGGATTTTTCGTCTCAACGGAAATCTGTCAAGACGCTCCGGTAACAGGGGAAAAAGGGGGTTTCTCTTGGCACGGAAGAGTGCTCCCATCATCCTGCGTGCGGCTCCTAGGTGGCAGCTTCTTTCCGGGAAAAGACCACCTTTCAACTTTGCCTCTGCTAGTGTAATCACCATTCGGATTATTCACTCACTTAGGAGCTCCCCCAGGCTTTCTATTTTGTTCTTTTATTCTTTCTTTCCTTCACTTGGATTTTCTTCCTTAATATTTGCACTTATTGCGCCCTTTGCACCTTATCTCCCCCTCTCTAGACTGAATCCCGTCAACACCGTGAAACTTACCCCGAGTTCAGTGAACACGAACACCGAAACTGCAAGGCAACGACTTAATTATCAAGCTGCGGTAATGGATCGCGCTTATGCTCGGACTGCTGAAGATACTTTAAACTTCTTCAACGTCGATGAGCGCACTGGCCTTGACGACCAGCGGGTGAAAGCTGCGATTTTGAGATATGGGAGAAATGGTAAGACAGCTCCGTGTCTGGGCTAACGAGTTTTAAACTTTGGCTAACCTACCTTGTGGATCAGCACTCCCAGAGGAACCTCCGACCCCATTATGGCAGCTTGTCCTGGAGCAATTTAAGGATCAGTTGGTGATAATATTATTGGCATCTGCGGCTGTGTCGTTCGTATTGGCTTTTCTGGAGGAGGGTACCAGCCTGACAGCTTTTGTCGACCCTGCTGTTGTGAGCGATCCTTTTTACATATCACTGACTTACGTTTTGAGTAAAATTGCTGATGTTTGGCGAAGATTCTCACTATCTTGATTCTCAACGCGGTTGTGGGTGTTTCCCAAGAAAGTAGTGCCGAAAAGGCGATTGCTGCCCTTCAGGAATATTCTGCCAACGAAGCAAAAGTTGTGCGCAATGGCCATGTCTCTAGGATTCGTGCTGAAGAGCTTGTCCCCGGTGATATAGTCGACGTAGCAGTCGGCGATCGGATACCCGCCGACTGTCGCGTAATTGCCATCATGAGCAACACTTTCCGTGTCGACCAAGCAATCCTCACCGGTGAGAGCGAGAGTGTCAGCAAGGATACCCGCCCTGTCAAGGATTCTATGGCTGTCAAGCAGGATCAAATAAATATGCTCTTCTCCGGAACAGCGGTCACGGTCGGACATGCCAGGGCTGTTGTGGTTCTTACCGGTAACTCTACTGCTATCGGTGATATACACACTAGTATCACCTCGCAGATCTCAGAGCCTACGCCATTGAAGCAAAAGCTGAACGACTTTGGGGATGTTCTAGCAAAGGTTATCTCAGTAATTTGTGTAATTGTCTGGCTTATTAACATCGGAAACTTTAGTGATGAATCTCATGGTGGTTGGCTGAAAGGTGCTATCTACTACTTGAAGGTAATAGTCATCGGGCCAATTGGTTTACGGGAAAAAGGCTAACAAACTTTGATAGATCGCCGTTTCATTGGGAGTCGCTGCCATTCCGGAAGGTCTCGCCGTGGTCATCACAACTTGTCTCGCCCTTGGGACTCGCAAGATGGCTGCAAAGAATGCTGTTGTCAGGAGTCTGCCTTCGGTTGAGACTCTCGGAAGCTGCAGTGTTATTTGCTCTGATAAGACCGGAACCTTGACAACTAACCAGATGAGCGTATCGAGGGCCGTTGTCATTGGCGAATCTCAAATGGAACTTAATGAAATTACAGTTGATGGAACCAGCTTCTCCCCAGTTGGCGCTATCAGGGACTCATCTGGAAATATCCTGGAATCTGTCGCAGGTCGTTCAATCACTATTCGCAGACTCGCCGAAGTTGCCGCAGTTTGCAATGGCGCCGAGCTCTCTTATGATCCTAAAACACAGACTTTCACAAACGTTGGCGAGCCCACTGAAGGTGCTCTCAGGGTTCTGGTTGAGAAAATTGGCACCCCCGACACTACCTTGAATCTACAAACCTCATACAAGGCAGTTGAGAAACGCCTCGATGAAGCTAATAGATATTACGAATCTCGAAACCCCCGTCTCTCAACTTACGAGTTCTCTCGTGACAGGAAGAGTATGTCCGTATTAGTAGGGGATCCTCAAAATCCCCGCTTGTTGGTCAAAGGAGCTCCCGAATCGGTCATGGAAAGATGTACTCACGCCCTCATTGGTTCTGGCGGACAGAAGGTTCCTTTTGGTACCAAGACTCGAGATCTCGTAAACGCCAAGTTGTTGGAATATGCAAACCGTGGTCTCCGTGTTATGGCGTTTGCTATTGTTGATGATATTGGTGACCATCCTCTAATCCGTTCTGCAACTACTACCCAGGAATATGCACAAATCGAACAACGTATGACTCTAATTGGTCTCGTTGGTATGTTGGATCCCCCTCGCCCCGAGGTTGCGAACTCGATCAAGAAGTGCCGTGATGCTGGAATTCGTGTCGTCGTTATCACTGGTGACAACAAACAGACTGCTGAGACTATCTGTCGTCAAATTGGTATCTTCGGGGAATACGAGAATCTTACTGGAAAGAGTTACACTGGCCGTGAATTCGATGCTTTGAGTGAAATTGAACAATTGGAAGTTGCCAAAAGAGCGAGCTTGTTTTCTCGAACCGAACCAACTCATAAAAGCAAACTTGTTGATCTCCTTCAGGGTGCTGGCGAAGTTGTGGCAATGACTGGTGACGGCGTCAATGATGCCCCGGCCTTGAAGAAATCCGATATCGGCGTGGCGATGGGCAGTGGAACGGACGTAGCGAAATTAGCAGCAGACATGGTCCTCGCGGACGACAATTTTGCTACAATCGAACTCGCCGTCGAAGAAGGCCGCTCAATATACGCCAACACCCAGCAATTTATCCGTTACTTGATCTCTTCCAACATTGGAGAGGTGGTTTCCATCTTCCTGACTGCCGCGGCAGGCATGCCCGAAGCGCTCATCCCCGTCCAGCTCCTATGGGTCAACCTAGTCACCGATGGGCTCCCGGCCACCGCCCTATCCTTCAACCCCCCAGACCACGACATCATGAGACGTCCCCCGCGTGGAAGAGATGAGGCACTCGTTGGAGGCTGGCTCTTTTTTAGATACATGGTCATCGGCGTGTACGTTGGTGCCGCGACAGTCTTTGGCTATGCCTGGTGGTTCATGTTCAACAGCGAGGGTCCCCAAATTACCTTCTACCAACTTACGCATTTCCACAAGTGCTCAACAATGTACCCGGAGATTGGCTGTGAGATGTTCTCGAATGACTATTCCAAGACTGCATCCACTATCTCCCTGTCCATCTTGGTAGTCATTGAGATGTTCAACGCTATGAATGCACTTAGTTCTAGTGAGAGTCTGCTTACCCTGCCATTGTGGAAGAACATGAAGCTTGTCTACGCCATTACCCTTAGCATGGCCTTGCATTTTGCACTCTTGTACACCCCCGTCCTTCAAGGTCTGTTCTCGATTGTGCCATTGAACTTGCACGAATGGCAAGCTGTGGTGTATATTTCTCTTCCAGTCATGTAAGCCCCCCAATCTTCTTCCTCCCTTCGTGGATTAAATAGAGGCTAATCGCGACAACAGCTTTATCGACGAAGCTCTTAAATTCGCCGAGCGAAGATTATACCTTCAACAGCCCACCAACAAAGCCAAAAATGAGTAGACTTTGCCGCAACCTACTTCGCAACCATTAGCCTCCTCCCACTCAGCTACCCCCTGCTTTCTCATCAATTTTCTATTTTTTGTTCCCTTTTTTCTTTTCTTTATCTTTGCCATGGCCTTTTAGAAAAGAATCCTGCCTAGATATTTGATGTCTTCCCTCTGTAGATTTTCATCTCGTTTTGTCATTTCTTTTATTGTTTGGATGGGTAGGATATGGTAGGCTTGGTTTGGTTTTAAGGGAAGCTGGGGAGTGTGGGTTATCATATCAAGCCTTGTTGGCTTTTTTTCCGGGAACAGAAACAAAAAAGGCAATTGTATATGGCTCGGAGAGGTGTAGGCTAAGTTAAGGTACACGAAGAGGAGAAAGGTAGAGAATGGAGAGGAAACGGTGTACTTCTAGAGGCTATAGAATGCATTTCGACCACCACTCTTGTTTGAAAATTTCCATGTATGATATGATATGTACTTTGTGACGCAAATAAACAAAAAGCGAATGCCCCAAACTAAGAGAACGGTGTGTATTACCCTCCGAGAGTGGGGCAGCCAAAGTTACCGAAATTACCTTATTCCGATAAGCAAGACCTTATTTGAGATTGCTAAGGATGCCGAGGAGGATTGCCCTCTGGGGCCCCCCGCCGCGGCCCCAGAACACAAGTGCCGCCCGGCATCACACCAAGTCACGCCGCACCGAGACACACCACAGCCCAAACAGACATCACAGACATGTATAAATCCCGGACAGCCATATCCGGCACGAGCATAGCAAACCCAGCGTCAGCGCTTACTATACTTAACTCAAGCATCCGGGAGAAGCGGTAGGCAATCTAGAACTCCATCCCCAAAGGACTGAAGAGGCAAGGCAGGGAAACCCCAGCAGAAAGGAGGCAGGGCAGTGAAGGAGGAGCGGGGGAGAAATAGGATCGCTGCTCAACCGAGTACTTCCTCATGGCGACCGCCCAAAGTGTAGTGCGCTTTCTATCATTTATAACTTATAATAAGTCACTCTGCCTAACTTTCAAGTTGGACGCCACAAATTGAATAGCCGCCCCTGGTTGGCCGGCTCGCCCCCTCCAACGAAAGGTATGGATATCTCATAATTTATTCACCGAGTGAGCCTTTATGATCCATTCCCGAATGAATCGCATGGATCTTCATCTTTCTATAGCGCAACTGGCAGCACAGCACCTCACCGCAACCCTAACCCTCGCACTCCGAGTGTGTCCATTCACCAAGCACAGTACTACCGGGGAAGAGAATATTCATGATACATATCGAAAGAATGAGCGAAACAAGCTTCCTCCCACAAACAGGAGTAAGAAAGAGGAAGTAGGAATAAATGAAAAAAGAGACACGCTACCGCACCGCAGTGCTTCGCCTCTTCCCACGGGGCGGGAAAGAGCCAGCGACAGAAAAAAAGAACAGGAAAAATAAAATAAAAATTAAAAAAAGTCCCAACCAATCCGCACCCAGACCGAGACCAGACCGTTCTTTCCAGACCAATTTCCCCATATCCTCATTAAGTCAGGCTAGCTAGTATGGCAATTACCAAAGTTTCGTTTTTTTGAACGCAGGACGGGCAGGTGTATGGTAGGTTACATAAACCAATGAATGATTGGTGTATTAGTCATCCATAGGACGATCGGTAAGACTCACGCCCGCAGGCCTGTCCTCTTCAAAGCTTCCCCCCATAGTCAAAGATTCTCTCTTCGGCCCTCCAGCCGCACTTCTGACAAGATTAGCTCCCTTGCGCGGGAACCTAGTGCTACCACCGGCTTGTGATTTCCTAGTCAGCGAATTCGACTTTTCTAGTCCTGCAGTGGGAGTCGCGGGAGAGGACTCCCCGGACTCATGATGGGCGAAGGACTCCGGCTCGCCGGAGACCCTCGGCGCTTCAGCCTCACTATCGAGTTTCTGGTCTCGGTCGAGCGAGGAAGCACCTCCAGGCACTTCAAGGGACGAAGGCCGGTACCTTGAGCCTCGGGGAGAGCCGCTAGTAGGCGAAGTTTGAATGGGAAATCGGTTCCCGCCGTCGGTAGATACTTCTCTCCTGTGGCGAGAACTCGGAGCGGGGCTGGAGGGCCGGGAGCGCGCCGCGCCGATAACTGCGCGGTTGCGAGCTTCAACAAACGCCCGGCGTTGGGACTCATCCGTGGAGACAGCTCGGGCACGACCAGAGTTGAGGGTTGAGGCCCGTTTAAGTTCGCCAAAGATTTGCTCCTTGTGAGCGAATAGGTCGCGGACAAGACGGTAAGCGTAACGCTCATGTTGGGTGAGGGATGATTCTACACGTGGGCGAAGGATGCAGCTTGACAAGCTCTGGGCCAAGGTGGTAACATAGGCCTCGTCCGCAGAGGTAAGCTCAATGAGACGAGTAAAGTGAGTAGTAATGGCGTCGAGAGTGGCAATGTTGGTCAACGGCAGGCTTCCAAGAGTGTTTTGAATTACCGCAAGTCGCTGTTTCTCTTCTCCTTCTGTTCCGTGTGTGGTGTAAACCGTTTTGATGATTTCATACTTATGGGAGGAAACAAGAGTGTCTGCCAAGAGTCAGCAAAGGCAGTTCAGCGCTAAAAGCGGATATCCGTACCAGGCAATTCGAGGAGGTAGAGCTTCAGAACACTGGCAACGATAGGAATCTCATAGGTTGCGAGTGCCTCCTTGGGGATCGCTTTGCCAGTATTGATAGTATTTCGGAGGTGGTGAGTGGCAGCAAGTGGAACATCTACAAGCCAAATACCCCTTCGCGCCTCGTCACCCTCAAGGTCAGGATAATCTACACGGAAATATTAAAAGTTGATCAGCCACACGTTATTCTGGGTGGCTTACGGTGATCCAAGTAAGTAAGGATCGACGTGATGATGATCGGCACACGTTTACGATCCGCCCTGGCGCGAGCTTCAAGATCCACACCAAATGTTTGTTCTATATTCCAGCGTAAGTAATTGCTACAGCGCATGACTTCTCCCAGGAGACCTACCGTCTACAGAATTATAATAGCTCTCATAAGTCACCACTTTTGGCACATATGAACCAGTCCTATAGGACTCAAGCATATAACGCAAGTCCCCAAGAGGTTGGATAGTCTCCTGGTAGAGGAGCATGTTGTCTACGGTAGCTTGAATGCTTGGGATGACATTCGAGATTGCTCCTGAAAGGTCCAAAATGACTATTTCCCGAGTCAGCATCAGTAGTTTATGGGGAAACTTCCAGTCGTGGATATCTCAGTTGCCTTACCTGATTTAATGGCCTTTAGACGGTCCAATTCGCACCTCTCCATAAACTTCAGGTGCTCCATCATGCTCTCCTCCAAGGCACACCTCATCAAATCCAACTTCTTCACCCCAGCCTTGTACCGTTCATCGGCTTCGCTCGCCTCTCTCCTCAACCTGTCGCCGGGGGTCTCGCCCGGGTGCTGATTCGTGAGTAGACCCCCCAAATAATCACCAACGTAGGCCATTGTTGGGCTCTCAGCCGTATCTCCCCCATTCTCCAAGGGCCTGACAGACCTCTGCGCTGGCTTCTCCGGCTTTCCGGTAAGTTGGAAAGTCTTTGGACGCCATTGGTAGTGAAGCTTGGAACTGTTCGCGAAGGTATTTCCAACGGATCCAACAAGTCTCAAAAACCCGTGGGTGACCAAATCCTGTCCAATGCGTTCCGCGTGGGAGATCGAGGTAGCTCCAAGGTTCTCCTGGATAAATTTGACGATGTTTTCTCCAGTGGAAACATTCTGGTAGGTTCCCAAGATAGCAACCTTAACTTCTCCCAAGGGGATGGTTTCCAACATATGTGCCAACATCTTCTTCACCTCAGCCGGTTGGTAGAACAAGTCACCAATTTCCAACGGCTCCTCATCTTCTGGATCCTCAGGTTCTGGTAATTTGATTTCAGGTGCGGCAGCAACCGCCGCTGGTGCCGTTGGGGGAGCTGTTGCAGAGGACGGGGTTCCTGGCGCTGGCACTTGGATAAATTTAGTCTCTTCCTCCAAGTCCTCAACAAGACGACACTTGTTGAAATAGTGGGACCGAAGCTTTTTCACAGCTTCTGCCTGTTTATCGTGGCTCTTGATTTGGGCCTGTAAATCATCGTGAGAATTGATGATGCGTTCCCCATGGGCTTCGCACCACTTGGAGAAAGGGTTGATGACGAGTTGGCGAATATTATCTGCAACTTTACGGTGATTTTTTCCGGCCTGATAAGGTGATAAGTTCCATCCAGAGTAGATAAGGTAGTGTGGTAACTCACATCATCCATTTCTTTCCTCAACCCATCGAATGCCTAAGATTGCCAAAGTTTATTCGTCAGAACCTAGTCCACCCCCTCCCCCCTATCGCAAGCAACGGGGCACAGGATTAAAATAAAGCCAAACAATACCTTTCGCACACTAGCGCCATCATCCCGGCCGAACCCACCCGGCTTCTCAGCTCCTGCGGGGATAGTAGCAAGTCTTTGCCCATACGCATCCTCCGCATCAGCCCGTAACTTGGAAATCTGCAAAATTTGCTGGTTCTCTATTACGCCCTGCTGAAGTTTTCCGAAAAGGACACCAAGACCTATTTCACCCCCAAGTTAGCACATCTGAAGACGGTGCGTTGTCTCCAAGAGGGAAATTGGGATGCGGAGGGGAGAGGATGAAGTGAGGGGCTGAGTTTGACAAAAGGACGATCCAACTAACCACCAGCGTAGTCGCCCGACCAAAAAGAATCTGCAAAACCAGGCATTTCGTACGGAAAAGAGAAATAGAAAAGCTAACGAGTTAACCAGCGCAGCAATAGCTTCCTAGCAGCAGTATCGATGATGCCGTTTAGTTCTGTTTCGTTATGATATTTTATCCCGTAGGTGATGCGGTGTAATAATCCTCTAGGGAATGATTCAAAGGAACGGAGGAGATCAAGTGGTAGATGAAGGAGTTGTTACGACAGTCCTTGTGAATGTGATGATCGTTGTGCAAAGTGGGTTTTCAGCCTCTCCTCCTCGTAACCCCCTAAAGCTTTTCGGGGTGTGTACCTCGAAAACACAACAGTAGGCAAGCGCAGGAAGGAGTTGACGACCTCTGACTGACCGGGGTGGTGGGGTGATGGGGTGGTGGATTTCTGCACTCTGCAAACAAAAATAGTGTGAGGTGGTATTTGCACGAAACGAAAAGAACAGCTGAAAGGCAGAAAACTCAAAATGAATGAAAGGAGGGTCGAATATCAGAGGAGATAGAATGTAGCAGATTACGGTCCATAGGATGAAGAAAGGAAAGTTTATGGCTGAGAGAGGCTCAGATTCCTTCATTCGGTCTGGCAGGGAGAAACACTTGGGTAAGCGAAGACCCACAGAACTGAGTGAGGGCTGTTAACAAGAGATAATAATATTATTATGATAAACACACAATACCCAAACGACGGCAGGCCGAGAATCCCAGTGAATCATAACAGGCGCCACTCGAGTAAAGCATGCCTCACACAACTTAGACATACCAGTTTCACAACCCCTCGAGTGAAAGTGTGAACAGCATCAAGCAAAAAATGAATCCATACCCAAGGAACCCCCCTGCCCACAGAGAGAGGCAGTGGTTAACACCGTATATACCTCCCTGTGGCTACACTGCCCGCACGGTATCCGAACAGATTATTGACAGCCCTAAGGAGATTCCGTCCTGATCACCGGTGCACCGCACCCACCGCACAGCAGACCGTGAACTCTGCATGCACAAGAGTACTCGTACCCTGCCGTGGCCTATGAAATTCACATTCATGATACCACATGTGACCTTTTCAGTGGTTAGCCAAGCAAGTCTGGTAGACATGATGATCGTTTTCCAAGTCCTGAGTACTCGAGTACCGTGGCCTGAGCATAGTCGCCCCTTCTGTCTGGTATTAATTGTCCATGCTGCCATCCGTTGGCCACCAACTTAATCGGTGACATGCTCACAAGCACCAAACCGTACCAAATAAAGCATCATGATCAGCTCAAGATCACAACCACAGACCGTGGTGATTGCAATATAACCTCTCTCTTTCGCTTTAGCTATGATACATAGCTCCCTCCTCCCCCCCAGCCCGACTGCACGCGACTGAGCCCTGTGGCATGGACTATGTCAGATGAGAGCTGTCAGCTGGTAAAATTCTATCGTAACCCAATAAACCACCGTATATCCCCCGTCTATAAATTCAAGTTACAATATGATACTGGAGCCCATCGACGAACGAAGCTCCTCAGACCCCGTCGAGAACGTGATGGAGGGAATGACTTCATCAAGCTTGCCAACTTACTCGAGTACGAGTACAAAAAGGGTGGAGAAAATCCAAACCAAAATCGCCCCTTGAGCCGAGTTCGGCCGAGCGAGCTTCTTGCCCAAGCTATCACTCTTCAGCTAGCCAAACCCACATCAACTTGTCGCAACTGCAGGACGGCAGCAGTCGCTTCTCCCCCTGCATAATATACCGGTATCATACTTGTATAACAAACCTGACCCAGCTGATTGACCGCCACCGCCAATCAAAGCCACCTCCGAGCCGGCCGGTACAAATCAATCCCTCAAACCCGGTTGATTTATTCCGAACAGAAAAGAAGGGAGAAAAAAGAAAAGAATGCACAGAGTTGCGCGCATGCGTACCGTACCAGTATCTTTCTTGCCGAGCGACAGAATAAACACAGTCTCGATACTGGTACGGTACCGGTACTCCTGCCAAGATTCTTCGAGTACTCCTGTGTATGATTTTGTCGTCGCTCGCCAACACCGTGCGAGAGTAAGGTTATTAGTAGACCTTCACCCCTTGTAGCCGGCTCGTAAGATTTCGAATGTAATCAGCAAGAAGTCGGGTAACTCTAACTTGCCGATTCTAAAAGCTAACCTTTCCGGGCGCTTTTGGAATCGGCAAGTATTGAGTGTGGCGCATGGCGGCATGGTTCGTCACTCGGAAATTAGATTCGGTTGACTGAGGGCAAAAGATGGCTTTGTCCCCAAGCTGGCCTCGGGTGCTTGGCGGGAGGGTATGATAGGATACCGGTAGGGAGGACTTGTGATAAGATTCATTACGTGGTACCCACAGAACGATGGTGCCATGTCCCTTACAGTTACCGATACTCGAGTACTGTCCGGCGCGCATGGATTTATGTCTGTTCGAAATAATAAACGATACATCTACCCCGATGCGAGTATTGTCAACCCTCAGGCGCTCCTTTGACCTCATCAGCACAACCACTCCCCGATGTATTCACAAAAGATCACTCGTGTGGATGTCTCAGGCTCGACGGGTGGGGAATAACATGGGACTTTGTGGGCACGCTAAAGAAGGGCTAAGGTGCAGATGACTCTACTCGAGTACCGATGGTCAGCATTTTTAGAAATCGCTTTTGCTCCTCGATTGCCCAATCGGTAGATGGATGGTGATACATGGGCATTTGCGGGGGGATTTTTTTTTTTCTCCAAGAAAAAAAAAGGGCGAGGGTGGAAAACTGGTGGAAATATTAATAATGCAATGCTCCCCCTCATACCTTTTGGCGAGGGGAAACAAAAATGCCCTCTCAGGCTTGCACATATATTTTTTTTCACGAATAAGGTGGGTTTTTGCGAGTTTGTGTATTTTTGTGTATAGAGGTCATCGGGCCCGCACCTCCAGGCTTACCTATGTATCATACCGGTACTCGAGTACCGTGCCTGATAGAGTGGAGGAGAGGAGTAAGAGTTCCGTAAACTTTGTTTGTGGAGGAGGGTTGCCGATACTGAGTCGTCTTGAGGAGTTGTTTCTTCGGACATTCAATATCCAATGATCTTGGATATCATATCTTTAGATGGGAGCCTGATCTGATTTATCATGCCATAGTGATATACGGCACCGTATGTTTCGGCCAGAGGGAGGAGTTTCAGGTTCAGAGGTATGATAGCTTATGGAATTTGTTTGCTGACAGCCTGCCTGTTTGTCAAGATTATGGCAAGAGGAGGAGTACCGGTACCAGTATGATATTATAAAAAGTTGGAGCTTTGAGGAGCCTCAGTGGAAGTGCTTTTTTTCTCTCTTTTCTTTTCTTTCTCTTAGGCAGAGGTTTCTGACGTGCGGTACTGTACGGGGTACTTCATGAATGGGTTATCGGTATTTGTGTGCGACAGAACTATGACTCATGAGTTCAGCTCTCGCTGAGGGGGGTTGTTATCGGGGAGTCTAAGAGTTCTGGACATAGCTATCGCAGTGGTATCGGGCGAGGTCTGAGTACAGTGCATACAGTACGAGTACCAGTACGGTGTTAGTGGTAGTGGTACCGTAGGTTGAAGTTTGGCAAATATCATACCATAAATCTATCGATAAGAGAGGGGATGGACTGTGCTGCACAGCCACGTCCCTAAAGTTCTCGAATGGTACCCTTCCTTGTGCATCAGGAACAATACCGGTTCCATATTGAGAACAACAGCAGAGCAAGAGCCTTTTAGATAACAGTTTTTGGATATGTCCCTATGGACATTGTGAACTTTTATCGCAACTGCACTGTACAGTACACAGTACGTTATCAAGCCTGGCTTAGAACCGGTTAAGGTGTGCTGCGTTACCGTACTCGTAGTTCAGAGTTTGTTTTTGCGTGACCTACCGGCACCACCGTTTTCTCTTACTCGAGTACTCGTACTGAGGTACTGGAAATTCTGGACCTCATTCTCTTCCTTCTAGGCTCCGAAGGGAGGGGCAAAAGAAGGCTGCCATCTCATGCCCAGAGGATCTCCCACGGGATCGCGGCGGAACGGCAATTATTTTGTGATATTATGGTGTTAGACTCTCGTGGCCTTGGGTGCCCCTGTCTCTCGGCGGTCTATCAATGCTGGATCAGACTAGTGGCGGGCGGAGAGTGTGACAAGACTCACGCTTCCCGCACCAGAGCCTGAGGAGCAGCCTATTTGGAAATAAGACCTTTCCTCTCACCACACTCCAGGGAAGAAAAGTCCGTCTCGTTTATGCTTGTCACTTACCCGAGCGTAGCATTATTCGGTAGGCGAATTACTCGAGTAGAATCACCCTGAGCTTCTACTCGTAACCTCCTTTCCCGCTCTGTTTCTTCCCCACCTCCACCCCAAAGGAAAGGAAAGGAAAGAGAAAAAAAAAAAAAAAAAAAAAGTCACTGCCGCAGTGAGGCTGTAGCCTGTAGGTAGGTGATAAACGGCGGTGTCAGCCAACCAAGGAAGAACCCACGCTGCCCCAATCCGCAACTCTAAACTCTAAACCTTACCCTCTCTTGGTTCTATCATACGGTACCTATCCTAACTATCCACCTCTCTTCCCCCTCTACCCCTTCTTTCTTCCAAGACACAAACCTGCGAGCCCTCCGACATCATCGACATCTCCGTTGCCCTGCCTTCTTATTGCTAGGCAATCGCCCACATCGCTGGAGGCTGATACCTTCCATCATCCCTTACGCTCCGGTACTTAACGCGTCTCGGCGCTTCTGAGCAAACCCCAATTGACCTGTACGTATCCGACCCCAAATAAAATCACCCCTTCCGAGTTTCTTCCGAGTTTCTCCCTCGCCACCCCTATCTGCTGTACCGCACACCGCACTGTTCCTTTGACTCAACGAAATTTAGGTTCTCGCGATAATGACCCCTCGTGTTGAGGGAGCCGCCGTGCGCAAGCGCAGCCAGGTAAATATTCTGCTCAATAGTCATCCTTATCTTGAACTTTTTGTGTGATGCGTGTCTTTACGGAGCACAAGGACCAAATCTAACTGAATTAATCTGTCCCGTGTAGCCGTCATCCCCGGCCTCTAATAAAAATTCACCCAAGAAAGTCAAGCGCCAGCCTGATGATGATGTTGACCAAGTCGATGGGAGTGCTATAGTTGAGGATAGGGAATCTCTGGAATCTCTACTAAACCCGCAAGGTGACGTTACAATTACTCGTACTCCAGCATCCTCCCCTCCTCCTCAGGACACACAGGTAGCTTCGCAGTTTTACTATCCACCGCTTTCTGAGCAAGGAGTCGACGAAGATGACGAAACCATCTGGGGATACCTTTGGCCGTTGACACAGAAAAATCAGAGTGTCATCAAGCTCAACAAGACCCCCCAGGTTTCTACTCCAAATAAGGACTCTCCTAAAAGCGCCGAGAAGAAGAAACCTAAGAATAATAATAAGAAACATGGCACTGGTGGATTCGTGATTGGGCGTCATGTCGAGTGTGACTTAGTCATTGACCATAACGTTATCTCGAATAGACATTGTGTGATATATAAGGTAGCACTTGTCTCTTAGCGCTCCTAAGACACTTATTTGTGAATGATGGCTAACCATGTGCTGTGTTTGAGTAGGAGAATGCTGGTTCGCACCCTGTTGCGGTTCTCGAGGATTTATCTAGTAATGGTACCTGGGTCGCCGGCGTTATAATTGGTCGCAACCGTAGTCGTACTCTAGAAAACGGTGATGAAATTGAGTTCCCAGGGGGATTTCAGTACACTTTCAGATACCCGCCGCACATGCAATCCAGCGCTTTCCGCAATGCCTACGACCTTGGCCAGCAGCTTGGCTCTGGTCATTTCGCTACCGTTCATCTCGCCGTTGATAAGAAATCGGGGCAGGAGTTTGCTGTGAAGATCTTCAGAAAACGCCGTAATGAGGATAAGAGCAAGACTTCTGGGTTACAACAAGAGATCGCCGTCTTAATGTCTGTTAATCACCCCAACATATTGTGCCTTCAGGGCACCTATGACGAAGATGACGGTGTCTATCTTGTTCTAGAATTGGCTCGTGAGGGAGAATTATTCAACTACGTTATCCGCAATACCAAGCTTTCGGAGGTGGATACTCGCAAAGTCTTTGTTCAGCTGTTCAATGGCCTGAAATATCTGGTTTGTTCAACCTGTGAATCGAGCTATATCTCTTAGGATCCTTGCTAACACCGGAGAATATATAGCATGAACGCAATATTGTTCATCGTGACATTAAGCCGGAGAATATTTTGCTTTGTGACACCGATCTTACGGTTAAATTGGCGGATTTTGGTCTTGCCAAGATCATAGGCGAAGATTCGTTCACTACCTCACTGTATGCATCGGCTTCTTCTCCTTACTTTGTTGCCTTGTTGCGGCTTAGCTAACCCGGGTGTGTGAATATAGCTGCGGAACACCTAGCTGTAAGTCTTTTAATGCTATTGCCTATTAAGTGGAAACTGACAGGTTTAGATGTGGCGCCGGAAATCTTAGAGCCCTCTCGTAACAGGAAGTACACCAGAGCTGTTGATATGTGGTCACTTGGTGTTGTCCTATACATTTGTCTATGCGGGTTTCCCCCGTTCAGTGACGAATTATACACACCGGATAACCCGTATAACCTATCGCAACAGGTTTGCTATGTTTTTCATTTTCTTATGCTTCACCGTTTACCATTATATCTAACGCGCCCAAAAAGATCAGAGAAGCTAAATACGATTTTCCGTCCCCTTACTGGGATGATATTGCGGACCCCGCACTTTACCTGATTGAGTCCATGCTTGAAGTAAACCCGAACAAGCGGATCACTGTTGATATGGCGTTGAAACATGCCTGGACTGTTGAAGGCACCTTTAATCCTGCGGAATCGTGTGATTCTCTGGTTGGAGCTCTCGAGACGATGGGGCTTAGGAGGAGCGTCGGTCGTGAGCGCACTCTGTTGGCGGAGCATCCGGAAATAAGACCGACTAGGGCCGTTGAGACGGCTGTCGTTATGTCGCCCGTTACATCGCCATCGGTTGTCCCTGAGTCTGAGGGCGGAGGAGAGGAGGTTGTGACCAGAGAAACAGAGGTACGGGAAGGAAACCCTTCTGATATACCAGCCGTCATGACCGCTTTTATGCATGTTGGGGGGCGAGGTGGTGATGAGACTCTGTACCCTGACGATTCATTTGCCGAGAGCGCTTAGGTTTGATTAGTTAGCCAGAGGGGAGTAATTTGTGCGAGTGCAGATCTTTGTACGTCCAAAATCACATAGGTCGACCTTATCTTTTTGCGCGCTTCAAGCAGATTACTTTTGAGTTACTCCAGAGCTAAAAAAAGGGGCTGGTTAGTGATTTTTCTTCTTCTGGTGGATCTTGGGGGCACTTGCAAGGGAGGGGTGGGCGAATATTCAGGTGGTATCTTTGCGACTTCTTTTTCGGGCATTTCTTTTCCATACCATAAAAACTGCCTCTTCTATCTTCTCTACACAAGCGAGGTTTAAAAATCTGGGGCTTATCTTCGTTTCCTTTTAACAAAATATTTTTTCCCTGGGTCTTCTTAGTTTAAAAGGTGGTGAGCATTATTATTACTGATTTCAATTAGGTGGTGGTGGTGGCGGCTGTGGGGTTTGTGATGTTTCCTCCGAGGATTAATGTAACCATATTTTTTTTCCCTTGTGAATTACCTTTCGGTATCATACTAGCAAAGCCTGCGAGCTTTGGAAAGAGACGCTGGTATCGTTGTGGCGACGTCTCTTTGGCACAATTGGCTGTGCTAGTACTTGATGTAGATGGTGAATACTCGCCCCGAGATATATAGTAGCCTCTAGTGGCAACACGGTGGCTACTCTCCTCTGGCAGCCTTGACGATAGGAAAGTTATGTTGATAATAGCTATCGCTCATATATCAAGTATCCCTACTCGTCATTTTCCAACCTTTGTGAACACAACTACTATTGCGTACGGCCCCAAGGCCCTGACGTTAGGCAATGGTATCGTAGTCGTGTTCGCAAACGCCAGAAGATTACGAGTAGCCACCGGGTCTCTAGTAGGCAGTGTGCTGTACTTGTACAGTAATCGTACTCGTACTCGTACCCACGCGGCCGAATTGAAGCCGGGTGCTCTCATGGAGTACTCGTCCCAAGCAGGAAGTATCCGGGAATACGGGTACGAGTACACATGGGGTGGGGGTGGGGGTGGGGTTTGGCATATCTTGGGTGAGTTCCTGGTTTCGGTCAACAGTGGGCGTTCAGTTTAGCTACCGTGGTCTATTGTTGCTTCCAACCTTTCTCTTCATTTCTATTTCAGCATTGCAGAGGCATCTCCTCCTATCTTGCTTCCGCTAATGAGTTATCATTTAGGTATTCGATAATCGCATTTCCGCTTACCCCTTCATGTGAGCGTTCCAACCTCTGGGGTTCTTTTGGGGGTGACCAAGCCTCTCCTGTGAATAAGGAACAACATGTGAGGTGTTGTAATATGCCGGCGGTTTGGATGTTTGGGAAAAAAAGGTTCTTCAACTCGGGTTGAGTTTACCTGGGCCTGCCATCTGGGAATGCTGGTCCTAGCTCTCATTATTTTGAAGCGGTCTACTAGTACAGAGAGATTTTTTTCTTCAAGTTGTTGTTTCCTGATTGTTTTTAACTAGGGTTTTCCGTTTTTCCTTGCTCTACGAGTATGATACTATGTAGACTACCTTAGTATCGTATAATTGGGTTTTTTTTTTCCCTTTTTCTTGCTTTAATTGAGTTGTGCTGCTGATTCCAGATCGGAGGAAGTTGATGTTATGATACTTGTTTTTGTATGGACTGGAGGGGACCTACACAGGTCACTGCTCTATCCAACACTGTACAGTACTGTACCCCTTCCACACCTGTAGTTTTAAAATCGGGTACTGCACGGAAACCAATCTTCTACACTCTTTTTACTTAAACCAGTATTCTCTCTGAAATTGATTTTTCTTGTTTCCTCTACATTTGTGATATAGCATAATGTCCGGGTTGTTACTGAACTCCGTCGCTGTGCTCGGGTGCTGTGAGATCAGACAATGGCGCGGTTTTGCACAATTCAATTGTCAGCAACGGGTGAGCCATGGTTTTTCTGCCGGCGCCCCGCATAGACATAATCGTGACTTCACCACAAGTTGCTCGCCTCGAGATTGTGGGCTTGTTTCCATGATTAGATTGGCAGGTATTCGGGTTCTCGCAAGGATGGGAAATTGGGGGGCCACCCTTATATTATATATATATTTATTTTATTTTTATTTTTTGTGAAAAAAAATCGTTCTATTCGTACGAATACTTGTATACAGGTAGTATCATAATCATACGCGTTTTGTCTAGGCAATATAATGCTGTGCTAGGATACCGGTACCCTTGCGATCATTACTATTAGTGGAGGAACCGTATCCAACCGTATTCGTAACATAGTGATGCGGTAACTTGTTGTGATATAATACGAATACGCCCTGTGAAAATGAGATGTCGACAAGTGCATACTTCTTCTTGCAGCAAAGTCCCAAAGGACTGGGGCTCCGTGCAAGCAGACGATCAAGTTGGGCAAAGGTTGTCTTGCGCCAAGAATCCTGGCGGGAGTGCTGAAACTCCCCTTTCTGGCCTGAACGCCTCTGAGCCTCTGAGCCCCATGACAATCTTCTTATCCCCTTTTCTTGGGATCTCTAATACCGGTATTACCTTCTTTCTATTCTTTCTTTCTTTTTTTCCCCTTCCCTCCCCTTCTCGCCTCACCCTCTCTACTTTTCCTTCATTCCCTTATCTACCCCCTTCCCCCTCCGTCCATTCAATTCCCAACGGTTCAACTTCACTCTTTCGTCGTGTTAATTCTTTGTTGCTTTTTTCAAACTTCAACGTCTGTTTGAACGAACCCCTTGCTCTATCCAACGTTTGATACAACAGCAGCAACCAGAATGGGTGTCTTGTCAACTTTGTTGGTCCCCATGGGACCTTACTATGAAGAGCTTATGAGGCTTGGTGGACCTGCATTGTGTGGAATTGGGTTCATTGCTTTTGTTGTGCTGTCCGTCATTATCAATGTCCTCCAACAGCTACTTTTTGTGGACCCTACGAAGCCTCCAATGGTCTTCCATTACTTTCCATTTTTCGGTAGCACGGTGATGTACGGAATGGATCCTTACAAGTTCTTTTCTGGGTGCCGGGAGAAGGTTTGTTTTCTGGATTCTATATGCTGATTGCTGTATGAGGCTAATGTTCGCGTAGTACGGGGATGTCTTTACTTTTGTCATGCTGGGAAGGAAAATGACGGCGACATTGGGTCCTAAGGGGAACGATTTTGTGTTTAACGGAAAGCTTTCGGAGGTTAGCGCAGAGGATGCCTATGCACATTTGACGGTTCCTGTCTTCGGTGAGGGTGTTGTTTACGATGTTCCAAACCATGTCCTCATGGAACAGAAGAAGGTTGGTTATGCTCTCTGCACTAGCACTAGGAGCTCCATTTGACAGATTTGCTTCTAGTTCATGAAATTCGGTCTCACCACTGAGAACTTCCGTTCATATGTCCCCCTTATCGTCGAGCAGGTTGAGGATTATATTAAGAAGTCCAAGTTCTTCAAGGGGGCAAAGGGTTCTGTTCCTCTTTCGGAGATTATTCCTGAGCTCACTATCTTCACCGCCGCGCGTACACTTCAGGGTAAAGAAATTCGTGATGCTTTGGATGGCTCTTTTGCCACATTGTATCACCATTTGGATTCCGGTTTCACCCCAATGAACTTTTTGTTCCCATGGTTCCCCTTCCCACAAAACAAGCGCAGGGATCATGCTCAGCGCACCATGGCTCGGTTCTATATGGACAAGATTAAAAAGAGGCGGGCAATTGAGAAGGATGATGTTGGCCAAGAACGCTCGGACATGATGTGGAATCTTATGAACTGTTCCTATAAAGATGGGCGTAAAGTGTCTGATAAGGAGATCGCCCATATGATGATTGCTAGAACACTCGGGTCCAAACCAACAAGGGTAATATGG